GTTCACGAGTATTCCGTTCAGCTGCGTATCAGAGACACGGTCGGGGTTCAACCAAGGGCTGGCTATTCCCAGTGATCTTTCACGTCGAGCTTGAGTCTTCGCAGCAAGTTCTTCACTACGAGTATCTTCAACAGCATTGAATAAGTCGTGTCCGTCTCGTTGTGGACTTCGGAGGGTCTTGGATTCTGCGTGGATGCTGCTGCCTGTGGAAGATGTCATGGATGTCCTGCGTTGACGATGTAAGTCCTTGCTGCAACGGCGCTGGGGTGGGCTGGATGTCACGACCGGTATGGCTTCAGTTTTGAACACCGGGTCACCGTTGCAGTGGTAAAGGCATCTGGCTGCTACAGCCGAGGTCACCGGTTCAAGTCTGTTTTGGATGCGGAACTCCGTCTGGCTGTGGATCGATTACTGGGCTACAACGATAAACCTGCTAACAGGTATGAGCCCATTGACCAGCTTAGGGGATGTTCATCTGGATTCTGGTGTATGGGATGCTGGTCGGCAACTGTGGAGGGTCTTGGATTCTGCGTGGATGCTGCTGCCTGCGGAAGATCTCATGGATGTCCTGCATTGACGATGTAAGTCCTTGCTGCAACGGTTTTGGGGTGGGCTGAATGTCACGACCGGTATGGCTTCAGTTTTGAACACTGGGTCACCATTGCAGTGGTAAAGGCATCCGGCTGCTATAGCCGAAGTCACCGGTCCGATTCCGTTTGGCTGCGGATAGATTACTGGTCTACAATAATAAATCTACGAACCAGCAAGAAACTGGTGGGGACAAAACATCCCCTTCAAGGCACAACTGGTGGGGACAAAACGTCCCCTTAGGGCACACACTCGCACGGGGACTTTTTATACTAAGCTGTGGACGTTATTGTTGTCAGAGCCGTTTAGGGAAGCACTAGTTCACAGTCAAGAGGCTGCGCTTAGTCCAGTTGTCTTTTGTCGTCTTGTGGGAGTTTCCATTTGCGGCAACGTCGTAGACTCCATAGGAGGTCGGGCGGGGGCATTCTGGGGTGTGGAAATGAAATGGGAAGGGTGTGGTCGGCGGCAAGTCTAAGACCAGTAGCAGGCGAGCTTTAGGAGCGGACGACCTATTGTACCGTACGTAGGTCGTTGCTGGGCTGTCCCGGTCCACATCCGGTGTTTCCTCTTTGGGAGGAAGGGTGAATGAATAACAGGTCAGGAGAGGACGAGAGGGGGTGTTTGTTTTCTTTTCTTTTTTGTTTTTTCAGTCTTTTTTTTTTTTTTTTTTTTTTTCTTTTGCGAGTTTTGTATTTTTGCTTATTTTGTAGTGAATGTAGCCCTTTATGTTCTTGTAGATACAGGTCGGGCAGGCAGCCTTTTTTTTTTTTTTTTGCCTTTTCTGCGGCTGTGGCGACTGTGGCAAATGACCTTCCCTTTCTTAGGGACATGGCCAGTGACATCAACCCATGCGGCCTGGAAGACGTCTGTGTCTCGGCGGATTCGCTTAGTCAGGTTGTCTTTTGTCGTTTTGTGCGAGTTTCCATTTGCGGCAACGTCGTAGAGTCCTTAGGAGGTCGTCCGGGGGCATTCTGGGGTGCAGAAATGAAATGGGAAGGGTGCGGTCGGCAGCAAGTCTAAGACCAGTAGTGAGCGAGCTTTAGGAGTGGGCGACCTATTGTACCATACGTACGTCGTTGCTGTGCTGTCCCGGTCCACATCCGGTGTTTCCTCTTTGGGAGGAAGGGTGAACGAAGAGCAGGTCAGGAGGGGACGAGAGGCAGTGTTTGTTTTCTTTTCTTTTTCATTTTTGCAGTTTCGTATTTTTTTTCTATATCGTTTTGTGAGTTTTGTATTTTTGCTTATTTTGTAGTGAATGTAGCCCTTTCGGTTCTTCTAGATACAGGTCAGGTAAGCAACTTTTTTTGTGCCTTTTCTGCGGCTGTGGCGACCGTTTTTTTTTTTGTTTTTTGTTTTTTTTTAAACAGCCCCAGTGCCCAAGGCTGATATTTCAAATGATAAAAACGAGGCCAGGGTCACAGTGTACCCGGGTATGTTCTTGTCTGGAAGCCTTACCCAGTTCCGCTTTTTACCGAACCCCAAAGGGACCCTGATTCAAGGAAAACTGACCAGACTTATCATGAGTAAGATTACTGCCTCTTCAACCTTATATGAGCCGCCAGATGTAAACATGACACAAGCTAGGTACCTTACTCTCATTCTTACTGCTTGGATAATAGAATATTCATCAGCACAAATGTATGCAGGCCTGTCATGTAGTTTCCACCCCATTCCATTGAAGATAAACTATAGCCAGATCGGAAGGTGGGAAATATCGGGAAATAAATCTGGGGATCTCAGGAAGCTCCTGGCTGAATATCCATCCAGTTGTTGAAAACGATGTAATAGTCTCTCTTGAAGTCTGCATCTCCTTTCCCACCAGGCCATTTGATTACCCCTAAATTCTCCCCTGATGTATACCCCAGCCAGTTAATTTGGAATTTGTGCAGAATTTTTATAATGTCTTGTTTTTTATAATTTTGGCTTTGCACCTTTGTGCTTTGATTTCCGTTCGAACAAAATTTTGGACTATTTCAATGACCTCCTGGCCCTCAATTATTACCCCTTCCCGAGACAACACACCTTCTAAACCACAATGCCCAAAGTAATGATTTCCTTCTTATATGGAATAAATTTGTTTGGAATTCTGGCAGATTTTCCATTATTGGAGACCAGTGCCCCAAAAGCAGTGCATGCCAGTCCCATGGCCAGTCCGATCCCATGGCCAGTCCAATCTGGTGATTCTATTTCAAATATGATCCCACCTTTTCCACAGCAATTTGGCCATTGGGTATTGTAAAATATGTGTTCTGTAGTTTCTCTTGTTTTTCTGCGTGGATATGTTCTGCGTGGATATGCTGAGCTACAGTTGGGACACCATAGTAAAGCTAAACCTTTTTGTTCAAGACAGGAATGATGAATTAGCCAATCAAAAGTTTGTAAACACCTATGGATTATTTGCCATTGTAGTGAAGCAAATTTTGTCGGTTGAAGCAAATTTTGCCGGTTTCTCTTTGAGGTCTTACACCATTTAACAGTCGTAAGTCTATCGATGTGGATGTTAAGGTGTCTGGCCCGTCTATCCATCAAAATGGATATGATGTTT